CCAAACCATTCCATGATTCTATGATAATTATACTGTTATGCCTGCCAAGGTAGATGCAGTCCTGCCGATGTGGTGATGTCTCCTGCCAGCTGATGTGCACCCTGCTTTGCGTCGGTAGAGCTACTGTGGTGGGAGGCATGGCCCATGTGGGGCCAGCTCTGTCCATGCTGCTGGAGGTGTGAGGTGGTACGCCCGTTGCACCTTCCTTGCTGTGTGCACCCAAAAAGAGCCTCTAGCAGAGGCTCAGCCTCCCTGCTGCCGGCCCGACGGGCTGCTGAGAGCTTGTGTCATCGTGCTCCCTGTAAAGTGTCCCCTTCCCGAGGAAAAAAACCCTTCTGTGGGTGGGTGATTTTGCCAGGTCGCTGTGGAGGGGCTGTTTTTGAGAGGAGCTCCTCTCCTGCACAGGCGCCGGGGAAGGTGGCAGGCGATGTTTATCTCAGTTGCGTTTTCTGGGGCTGGAGAGCATGTGTGTTATCATACAGCAGATGGGCCTGGTGAATAGATGGTGGAGATAACTGTATTTCCTCACGCAGGCTCGTTGCCTGCCGGGAAGGGAGCCAGCCAGGCTTTGTAGGGAGAAGTACAGAGCTTGGGCAGGCTGCGGTTGGGTTTCTCCTTCAGCCAGTCCATTCTGAGAGGCAGGTGTTGGTGTGGGACAGAGGCTGCTGCTACCATCCACCGTGTGCTGGTGTGGGGTGTACCACATAAGGACAGGTTCCAGCCTTGTGTCCTCTGTGATCTTTGGACCCATAAATTAAGTCTGGTGCTCCAGGCAGGGACTTGAATTGTCCATCAGTCCTGGGCAGGAGTCTGGTGGAAGCAGGCTGCAGTCTGGTGTACTGCCGATCGTCAAGGCCGGGGAACGGGTGGCTTGTGGGGGACAGCCGAAGATGCCTGTCCTATGTCCTCTCCCATTTCTGTGTGCCTCCCACTAGCTTGCCGAGAAAGCTGTGTGGCTGCTGGGCACCACGACATGGTGCGACAGCCATCCTGGGGAGAAGCAGGCAGGAAAGTCTCCTGCCAGAGCTTGCCACACTGGTGGCCCTGCCACTGCAAGGGGAGCTACAGACCTTTGAGGGAAGAGCTGATGGCCTTCCTAGGAGGCTTTTTGGTTTTCCTGAGAGCTGTCAGTGGATAAAGTCAAGTAGGTGGAAATCCCAGCAGCGGGCAGGATGGTGTCCCTGGAACGGACAGCGTTGGGAGCTGACTCCTGCGGCGTGGGGGAGAGGAGGGGACCAGGAGAGGGACAGCGTGGCTGGGGAGCGATGGCGGCTCCCCAAGACCAGCATCAGAGCTTGGGGGAGAGCACGTGCGGTGGCAGGGCAGAGCACTGCAGTGTCCTGGCTTCTGCCTCCCTTCTTGCTGCCTGGAGCTTGGATCTCCTGCCCGGCCAAGTGTAACGGTGCTGCCTTCCCTGAGCCCGCAGCTCGTCGCTGATAGCACATCAAGCAGGTCTGGTGATGCGGCACGTCCCACTGTCCCCTCATGTGGTACTTCTGTCTTTTAGGTTATCCTGGGTTTTCCCTTCTGTCTACTGGTATGGGAAGGGATTTCTTTCCACGGTCCTGTGGTTGCATGGCCAGAAGCCTTTGCCTGCTGTGTAGGACCGTGGGCGCGAGAGCGATGTGTGTAGCAGGAAGATTGGTGGCTGGAGGGTCCCGCTCTGCGGTGAGCAGCACGGCATCTGCATTTAGGGGTGGATTTTTTTGAGCCAGTGCTCTCCAGCACGGTGTGCAGTGGGTAACAGCATGGGACGCTGCAGGAGGATGGATGTGGATGGCGCAGGTTGCTGACAGCCTTTGCTTGCCTTTTGCTGATGCCTGTGGTTTGATGAACCTCATCCAGTAAGACGAATGGATGTGACAGGATCACGGTGCCCTTCATGGCCCCGTTTGCTTCCCCGTCTCTGCTGGAGCCAGGCACACAGCTCCTTCCCTTTCTCTGTTTGAAGAGTGATCTCCCTTTCAGACGGTTGTGGGCATAGTGCTGCCTCGGGGGAGACGACTGTACAGTGGCTCACAGCTGTAGGACTTCAGGCAGAAAAATCAATGTTTATATTTCTCTTAGCTGGGAAAGATTCCTTAAATAACTCCAGTAAATAAATACCTTGTAAGGTTCCAACTATGAAGGCACGGTATATGAACCAGAATGAATTTTCAAGCTCTCTCTTGCAATAAAATGGATTTCTTGGGTTCGGGTTTTATTTAGAGAAACACTTGTTTTAAGAGGGGAGTTGAAGGTTGTATCTGATCTCTTTGTGAGGGGGAGATGGCTGTGGGGTGTGGTCTGGAAATGTGGTCGGATTGCTGCTGCTGCTGGAGTATTCCCAGGAGAGTTTCTTGTGTACCCAGCCAAAGGGAGGGTCACTCTCCTCCCCAGGGTGCTTCTTGCTGCATCTTCTGTCCCCTCAAGACCCCGCTGCTGCAATGCAGTCTGCCCAGCCTCCGTGGGAAGCTGGTTGTGCAGGTGCTGCTGCCTGGGATGCTGGAGACCAGCCAGGACCCGGTTCCCTCCATGGACTGCACCGGCATCTCATAGCTTTCTGCACTTGCCCTCTGTGGCACAAAACGTCTTCTTTCCCTTCTTTGTTCCAGCCTGTGTTGTGGTTGAACCTGGTCCTTGAAGGGACACGAAAGAGGGAGCCAGTGGCGAGCCTGCTGCGGTGCAGCCCCCGTGATTTAGGCTGCTGGTTCCTTGGTCTGGGATGGCCGGAATTTGCTGTTCCAGGGAAGAGCTGAGGGTATGGGGTGGACTTGGAGGCTTTTCCTGCAGAGCTGGCCCTGCCTGGGGTCTCGGGCAAGCAGGGCAGGGTGGAAGGGGTTGAGAGGGGACCACGCAGCTGGAGAGAGACGCAACTGGCCTGGAGCTTGGGTTCAAGGTTGGGGCTTTAGACTTGCCTGCGTTATCTGGCAGCAGGAGCGCACGGAGGGAGGGCTCTGGGCTTGTGCTGCATATTTACCTGAATGAGAACTGTTTTGTCCTTGTGTGAAGGAAGAGGAAGCAGAAAGCTCTGTTTCAGCCCCACCTTTGCTCAAAGCTCCGGGAAATGACCCCGAGCAGGGGACAAAGGGCACCGTGCAGGGCTGGGATTCCTTCTGCTGTTTGTCAGCATGCGTGCAAGCGCGGCATCGTCTGCCTGAGAGCACCAGGAGGGCCACGGTGAGGGAGAGCTGCTCCCTGCAAGCCCAGAGGTTGCTGTGGCCTGTGGAGCTGGAGCTGCTGCTGCGCTTTGCTTTCTGAAAGTTGAACCTGCCTGGAAAATGTTATTACAACTTTCTGCCCTGGAGTGAGCTGGCTGTGGTGTGCGTTGGACC